AATGCAAACTCACCAGGGGTCATAAAGCTGACAAAATCCCAGTACTGCGAGAAAGGTTTGCTCCACAAAACATAAAGGTCATTTTTTAAGTCATTTTTGTCAGAGAATGTACAAAAAATAACCTCTTTATATCAATAATGTCAATGTGGATGAATGTGTTCAAGTAGCTTTACAGAGGAGATGTTATCCAGCATCCATAAGACAACACAGTTCACCTCATACTGTTGTGTCAATGAGGCAACGCAAGACAGCACAGGTTTGCTGCCTCAAACAATTTCAATTCTTCATGTGGTTCAGAGCACTCATTACCTGCTGCAGCCTATCTATGTATCTCCTCTGTATCTGATGTCACTGGAAGGCTCAGATTGTCATCCATGTATAGTCAGAGCTGTGGTATTCTACAGCAGCAACCCTGAAGCAATGGCAAACCACTAAAATGGTGCATATATCAACTGATTAACTGCAACTTTTTAATTAACATTTTTGCCAAATCAAGAAAAATGCCACAGATGTCTTGGTTAAATTTTAAAAAAGGAAACAATTTCTTATTGTCCTTCATAATAAATGGACACTTTTTTTCTTGCTAATGGCACTACTTAAGTGTTACAGTAAAAAGTTTGGCTCTGGTAAACTTACAGGATGTAAGGAGGTAGATATGTTTAAAACTGATGGAAGTCACATTAATTCCATTTACATTTTATACATTGAATAATTCATCTAGAAAACAACTGATAAAGAGTGAAAATAATCATCAGCTGCAGCTCTTGTAAACTCCAGGTCCTCCACTGGTGCATCGACTCTCCCAGAGGATCACACTGCCTGGCAACGGATGTACAACTGATAAACACAAGGCTCCTAAGATCATATGACATGCACTCTCTCTCTCTCTCTCTCTCAATAGGGTGCTCATTTCTATATCACTCATGAGTTTTCCTGTCTTTGATTGAGGATGATAACGACAGGAAAATACAAGTGCTCACTTGACATCATTATATTCTGTGGCTGGTTAACTAGTGGTCTGCAGAGCATGAACACAACATGCTCACAAAGAAAAAAGTAAACAAACCTGTCTGGCACTGAGGAATATGAAGGTCTTTTCTGTGAAAAGCTGTTTACGAGCTGGAATCGCTCCCAGGTTAACAGCCTCTTTACTCAAGCAGGGCTCATCGATGTCAGGGATGAAACTTAAAACAATGAACAGGTCACATGAGGTAATATTTGATTCAGTGTAGCTGACGTGTATACGTGGGGATGGATGGTGTTGTACCTCTCAGCTTTAGGAAGGGGTAATTTTTGCTGAACAGCTTTGTTGAGCTCTGAGAAGAACTCTGGCTTCATGATGGGACAACAGCACAGCAGAGCAGAAATCATCTAATTAGAAGAACAGAAAGCACATCAACACGTAGTTGGGGACAAACACCTGACATGCACTAACAGTGATACAAAGTCTGGTCCTGACCTTAACAGTGACTTTACCAGAAGGCATAGCCAGGTGGGTGCAGTCCTGAGTCCAGGTACTGACCAGCTTTCCACCTAATGCCAGCAGGGCCTGTGAAAGTGATGCCTTACCATCACTGTTCAAACATGAAGAACACACCACCGGCTTCTGATGGTCCACACTGAGGCAGAGAAGAACCCAGGAAGGAAATTCACAATGCACTAGATTTAGAATTGATGAAATGTTTAAAGGTGAACTAGCAAATATTTTACACATTGCCTGATAAATCGGGCGAAAACGGGACAGGGCGTGATATTCCTATAGTGCCCCCCCCACCCCCCACCCCAAGAACCTCTTCTCTACTCTGTGTTTTCAAAGTATGGTCCATAAATGAGCCCTGCCTGACACCTAGTGAAGGATATAAGAACTGTTTTTCACTGTGAGCCATGGAGGAGCACTTGGCGGCTAAAAGTCTGAAACAGTGGCTGTCTGACTGAAGAGGTCTCGTTCTTCTGTGCAGAGAAAGCGGGACAAAGAAAGACTAAGAACCAGGGTTAAACTTCGTTTGGCTTTGTCAGAATCAGAATCAGCTTTATTGGCCAGGTGTGTTGGACACATGAGGAATTTGACTCTGGTACAGTGGCTCTCAATGCGTATGTACATAGCCTTATGTAAGGCAGCAGTGGGCAAGTAACCAATATAAGGCTGAGAACAGAAGATGGAGAGTGTTAAAAAGCAACCAAAGATTTCATTCAGATCTTGTGTTCTTCTTTTGAATCGATTAGCATCTAAAGCTAATGTGTTTGTTTTGGTAACATTAGCAACCTAGCATGGTCCTGATTCTACCTTTATATTAAAATAATATGATTTTAATTTTGGAGTAAATTGAGCTTTGTATAACGTTAATGCTCTATGTCACATTAGCAGTAAGCAGAGCATTCTGCTGGGCTTACAAATTTACTTGTTAGTCAGCTAATGCTAGCTTCAGATTGGAGGCTGCATTTTGTACAGTTTCACACAACCAGATATCTGTAGTTTAGGTCATCGCTAGGAAACAGGATGTGGTGGGAGGGGCAAAGAGTGGTTAGGAGCGACTTATAGTGTCAGTTTGTTTTGAGTCTCACCAGACCATCTAGCAGCTCAAAAAAACAAAAACAAAAACAAAACAAAAAAAACTAAAACCTTCAGGTCAAGTGGCTTTAGCTCCATGACAGACTGACCAAATTTAGGTTTTCCAAGTTCTGGGGAAATACAATTGAACACCAGTCAGTGATTGCAAAAAAAAAACAAAATCAATGTTCTGTGATGTAAAAGGTAATAGTCCAGATCTTCTTTCTGTTACATACCTGAATTTGCTGTGAAAAACCCCAAATGTGACATAGTCCCCTGACTTCAGGTTCACAGGTGTGTGCTCTGTTACACGCTGGCTGTTGACAAATGTACCATACTTGGACAAGTCCTTAAGAGTCAGGGTCTAAAAGTAAAATATATGTGAGCAACCCATAAAATTGTCCATCAGTCAATTATTTATGTGTCAACAACAAGCACATGCTTTAAATTAAGCCTATGATGGAAATGTATCCCAAGCTCAAAAAACTAATTAAACCTTAAAGGTAAGAATAAACAGATCTTAGTCTTGTTTAGATGCTGAACTTGTGACAAATGAGACAATGGCTAAACATAATAATAATAATTCATTTTACCATTATCAGACAGAGAATACCTTTTCACACATTGTTACGGTATAATAGATTTAAGAAGTTATGAATCAAAATGCAAGCAGTAAGCAAAAAATAAATCCAGGGAAATCTGATAAGTTTGAACAAATGAAAATGTATTTATAAGGGTTGTGATGCAATGCTATAATGAGAACAATAAGGTTACTAATACTAACCATTATTACAAAACAAAAAGGTGAAATTTGTAAGATTACACACAGTTCTTCAAACACAGCTTCATGAGTTATGCACTGAGCACTTTATCTTTGTCTAAGGATCTTGAAGAGACTGGGTGGTGTTGCGGTTGCCAGTGACCAGAACTTCAGTTAGGTAGGACCAGTGCACTGCTCTTCTGTGTGGCATTATACATATAAATATAATCCTGTTACTCATATAATTAGTAGATTATTGAGTGATACTGTGTAATAAGGACAAAAAAATAACACATTGATAATCCTAAAAATTAAGACTGTCTACTGTACCAACTGTATGCACTCCAACACTTAAATATTTTCTAATTCTAATGTGTGTGATAGTTTACTTGATAGTTGTTGTTCACCAATTCATACCACTGAAAATCATATCAAAGTTTTTACACCATCATTAGGGGGCAGGAAGTACCTTGCACAAGTCACTGTTCATGGTATTGGGTGGGGTTTGTTTTTCTATAAAATAATTTTGATGGGACACTCGGCTTTATGCTGAGGCAGTAAAAGTGTCTGCATTTCAGCCTTATTGGTGGTGAATGGTTTGTCAGGCCTACACCTGTCTTTAGTCAGGTACACCTCCACACACACCTCAAAGCTAGCCGTGTGAATTCCTTTTGCCACAAAACCTCTGTGTGTCATTCAGGCTCTTTCAAACAGCTTATAAAATGTATCATTGTGCTGATATGAAAGACAGGCAAAAATGATGTATTTAGAACACACCGAGCATATGAGAAAAGGGTGGAGAAAGAAATTATGCTGCTGCATTTGCCATAGGAATTCACTGTACCCACTGTATCATCTGCACTCTGTTAATGACTAAGATTATAACATTCAACTTTCAAGCCTATAGATAATGAGTGTTTGTTACTTAAAAATGAAGTATGATTTTAACGTGCCTATCTGGAGTGTTTGTCTCTGAATAAACTACAGAAAAACCTGCAAACAGATGAGAACTACAGAGGAAAGTAAAGACAGTAACAAAATGCCTCTGTGGCACTGTTCTACACAAGGATTAAATTAAGGTGCATAACTTGGTCAAAATGATTCTCTGGCTCTTAATGCTATGAATTCCAGTTCTGCTGTATTTGTTTCAGATTACAGATATAACCGTGCAATGTCTTTGGAAGAGCACAATATTTAATTCTCTGTTTAGAGAATCCTCTTTCACCTATGTCTCTCACCTGGTCAGTAGCAGTGAGGTGAGCGTGAGCCCTACTGATGGACTGGTCGTTGGGTAGGACGATGTCACAGTTCTTGCGCCCCACCACGTATTCTTTACTGGCGAGGAGATAATTGGTTTTACCTGTGAGTGACAGAAGGCCAAGTTTGTGTGACTTTCTTAAAAAATGTGACAGTCCAGTTTCCCCTTCGTTAAAGTCATTTTGGTATACATTAAATCTGGGAATACAGATGTTCTGGCCACCACACATAGGCAGAGCCAGGGGGCAGGGGTGGCCATAGCCATATGTGTCTTGACCATAAAACAGAAATAATCTCTCACCACAATTTGAACACTAAACGAAACTTTAGATATAATCACATGACGTCACTCCAACGCAGCCTCTACACTCCAAAACATAAAATCCTATCCGACACTCTGGTAACTGTTAACCAGAGACCACTTATATACATCCTAAAAGAACGAAGCCCGCAAACACAGGTAATTACACCTACTTTTGTGTTACGTTTAGCTAATTTTATCAAGTCATAAACTTTACCCAGCTAGCCTCGTGACAAGCAAGCGTTAAAATATCAGGCATGTTTTTTTTTTTTTTAAAGTTACCTCCAGGATACAGGGGTGTCAGTATCCACATTTTATCGCCTTCTGTTACTTTAATATACGCAAATTAAACTGGAGTACAGTTACATTTCCAAACAACCACCAGTGGACACCCACGCCGCGCCACCAAATGACGTACAAATACTGCGCCGCTGATTCCCTTTCAAAATAAATGTCAGTTCTCGAGTTAGTCTAATATTAATGATTCTGGCTTTCCCTGAATGTTTTTACTTAACTTAACCCTTTAAGTCACCCCCTGGCCTGTAAGTTTCATGTTCACATTGTCTGCTTCGATGTTGTTCTTGTTTTTATGTTCTTTATTTTATGTTATAGTCCTTTGTTTCCATTCTATTTACTTATGTATAACTGTCATATGCCTTAATAAAGTATTTAAAAAAAAAAAAAATTAATGATTCTGGCTAATTTTATTCTACTTATGACAAAATTTTATATTCACAAATGCAAATTTTTTAAATCTAAGCCCTTCTTCCCTGCCCTGTTATGCGAAATTAAAAATTATTTTTCTTCCATCCTGAAGAGCGAAAATAAAAACGCTATCAAAATTTGTAATATATGTACATCCTTGAATGTTTTTACTTAATTTAACCCATTAATTCACCCCCTGGCCTAAACGTTTCGTACTTACATTTTCTGCTTCAATGTTGTTCTTGTTTTTATGTTTTTTATTTTATGTTATAGACCCTTTGTTTATGGTCTACTTTCTTTATGTATAACTACTGTCATACACTTTAATAGAGCAAAAAACAAAAACAAAACAAAAAAACAACAACTAATGATTCTGGCATAAATTAGACTCCATCAGTGTCACGTTGCCAGATATATTGTACATCTGTAATGGAAAATAGTGATAACAGGTTCGCTCAAGGTTATCTCCTACATCCACTGGTAATCTAGAAGAGGAGAATCTTAAAGAGTAAAAAATAGGCCTCTAGCAGTGGCAATGACAAAAACATTAATTTCGAGGCAATCAGTCCTCGCAAAAGGAACAGTGCGGTTCAATGACTACATTTGCTAAAACTGCTTCTGCACTTTTGCCAAAAATATTCCTAGTAGTCATATATAAATCAAAATCTGAGTGTAATGGTGCTGCCTTTTGGAGATAAATCTGACCTGGAACTTCTCCAGAGACATTAAAATTAATATTGTTATAACAACATTGTAACAACAACAACATAGTTCATTAAAGTAAATTTGATGAAATTGCTAAAACAAATAAATAATTTTGAATCTCTGGACCAATTTAAAAATTCTCTCTTCAGTGTCTTAAAGCTCTGAGCTCCTGTTACAAAGACATGTAGTCTTCTATATCTTTGTAATTACATATTTAACAGAATAGCTCAATATCAACGGTATTTTAGGGTTGATTCTGTATTTTGAAGATCATTACTCAGTCCATAAATTAATAAAAACTAGATAGAACAATTACAAATAAATTCACTTAATCTTGACATGTGAGGAAAAACCAGTCATGAACAACAAATATAAACAACACAATTTAATAATGTTTAAATATACATATAAACTGAATTAACAGAGAATTCAGATGATAGTTATTTGTAGGTTTTATTGTAAAATTCTGAATAGTTTAGCCTCTCACAAATCTTATAACCTCATAATAAAATTATATATGTGGACGTTATGTACTGAATCCAAATAAACATCACACATTGCCATTGCCATTAGCTGTATTGCTATTAATAGCACATTATGTACTAGCCTCAAAATAACGGATCATTGTCAGATTTCCATGCTTGGCCTGCAGCTGGTCTGAGCTGGTCATGTCCCCAGATGCATGGTAGTTTATTATTGGCCCTCATCACAGCAACACTAGTACAAGAGTTAGGGTTGATTTCACACCAGCCTGGATAGTCCACAGGTTTAGATCCACTGTAGAGAGGATTAGAGTTAGATTAGAGGACAAAACTACATCCATATTTGATTTGGATGGGAACTCGAGAACTTTTTCCACTTTATTTAAGATGGAAAAACGAACTCACTGGTCACAACATCCTACTCCAAAAGGCTCCATACAGACACACTGGTAACAGTCACTGGTCATCCAGCTCTCTCCCATCCCATACACCTGCCTCATGTGTTCACAGCTTCCTGAGAAGGAAAAAAATCTATATACAGTATTTATATAAAATATAGTCTACAAGTAAAAGGGCTGCAAATATCCTAAAATTTTGCTTAAATAAAAATGCTTAGGTATTATTGGTAAAATGTGCTTTAAGTATTAAAGATGAAAGTAGTCATTATGTAGAATGGTCTGTTTCATACTGTTATTTTATAACAAATGCAACATTATAATTCCAATAGTACTGATATAAGCAGCATTAAAATTGCCCCTGATCCTAGTGAAACTTATTTTAAGTGCTTCATGCATTCTTGGGCAATTTAATCTACAACAGTGCATCATATATTATAAACTGATCTTATGTTTTAGATGGAAAACATGGATGTGCCAAGTAAATATAGCAGGTAAACAACTGTAGTAGAGTAAAAACAACAACAACAACAATATTATTTCTTTCTGAAATGTTGTGAAGTATAAAGTAGCATAAAAGTTTACAATTAGCTCAAAAGTGTACAGAGTTTCAATGATCAAATAAATGTATTTAATTAGCTACTTAGCACCACTGGACATATACATACATTTACACATGCATTGTACCTTTGGTGTTGAAGAAGCACTCCCCACTGTTATGCACAGAAAAACATGGTATGCCGCTGCTGAGGAGCAAGAGTGACACCAAGAGCGTTTCTCCTGCTGTGTTTACCATTCCTTGGAAAAAAGAAAAAAAAACAGAGATGAGATTAAAAATGCCGTACACCAAAAACATAATAATCAGATCAGAGAAATATGTAGTTTTTCCTTACCTATTTCAGTTTTCAGTACTGTGTTATATAAAATTTTCTGTTGCTGTGTTTTCTTTCGAGGTTTCTCTGATTGCTCCTCTTGCTTTCATTCACCCTCTTGTTGTTGTTGTTTTTTTTTAAATCCCTTCTCTTGTCTCCTCTTCAGTGCCGCTCTTGATCTGGTGCACTTTCTCACTGTGGTCTCAGATATTTATACTGCACCAGCACATCTTTATCTCCACACTAATTTGTATTTTCTTCAACTCTATTTGTCCATCTCCCCTCACTCACGAACTGCTTTTCTATTTCTGTACACACAAATACAGTGTGCACACCTGCAAACGCACACCAACACACCGACACACCAACACACCGACACACAAGCATTATTATTACAATGTTCATCATTCCCTCTTGTACTGAAATTGCCCCAGAGTATACAGTGTGCACTCTTTCAGATAACATTTGTCTCAGGCAGTGCCTTTTGACTCTGCCAGTAGATCACACAGGTGACACCATCTACAGGACAACCAGCCACTGACCTATTGTCCTACACAGGAGCTGCATGTGTATGTATGTCTATAAACATAAACCACTGATCCCTCGTCAGGATCTAGATGTATGTTTACCTATTTTACTGTGACATTTAGTGAAAACTGATAAGCTCATTTTAAAAGGGCCATGTGTTTGCTTTTATTGTTAAAGCCTGAAGTGCGTTTAAAGACAGATCCTAAAGATTTTTTAAATAATGATTAAAATCACTGATGTACTGATCAGTTGCTTAAGTCAATTTCATATCATATTGTTAATGAATCATCAAAATACAGCATTCTGAATATGTTTTTACATGATTTTATGAACATTAATTTCTATTAAAAGTCTCTTTGACATAGGTTGCTTTTGTATCCTTGTGCTTTTAGAAACAGGTGAGGGGGGTGTGATATTAGAGGCTTCTTGGTAAATTTTGAAAGGTTTTTGTGTTGTTTCTTTCTCTATGCCAGGATATGTTTGAATAAACCACCAAGTCCACTGATAACATATAGAGTATGTCTGCAGACACACACGAACAGCCACTGATTTATTTGTCAGTAGATGTTATTGCCTAGAGGCAGAATTTAAACTGAACCTGTTCATCCTGGCTGACACTAACTGTGCCGAAGAGACACACCTCTTGTGCAGAATTACACAACTGTATAGGATTAACATGCTTACAGAACAATCAACCCTAAGACTGTTAAGACTGAGCTCAAATACATAGACATACATGGTTTTCTGCTGTGCTCCTGTTCAGATGTATTCATGTTTTTATCTGCCTCACACGGCATCTGTTAAATATTGTTGTCAGACAAGTTTTGGTTTGTATATGCATTCTTGTATAATTAGACATCCTTCAGGGTAAGGCTTTCATGTCCCATTGTAGTTCTGAAGTAAGCAAGTCTTGTGATTCCTTTTTGTTGGTTGCTTTTTTTAAGTTAAGTGAACCTTTACACAATAACTCATTTGATTTTAAAGCTCATGATTTGTCATGTCAGTGCCAATCTGTCCAAACAGTGCTCCCGCAGGCTTGTCCATATCATCATGTAACCAAATATGCCCCCTGGGAAAGTTAACTATTACATCATAAAATGCCTTCTGAAGAATTCATTTGAATGGAAAAAAAAAAATTCAAATGGCCAAAAGCACGCCCACTTTATGTAAAATCTGTTAATTAATGTATAAAAATAATAACTCAATCATATAGCTCAAACGTTTGGTGCAATACACCATGAATCAGGAATGCTGAGACAGTAATGAATTGCTGTAGATGATGTTAACCCACCATTAGGTTTTGTTCATGTCCTGCATGGATTTCATAGTCATTAATAACAGAACAACAATGAAGCAGAACCGGTTCCTCGTGTTTAGCAGAAGAACAAGAATGTGAGAGACATTAATCAGTAACAGACAATGAAACAGTTGGCACCTCCCTGTTCTGCTACGTCTGTCTTCATCAACATGTTTGGCTATCCCATAAGTCCAGGTGTCATAAACTTGTGGAGCCAGAAACCACGCCCGCTTTTCACACGGATCAAGATCAAGATTTGCACCCTTAGATCACTTTATAAACAAAAGACTCTGTCAGTGTGCTTATATGTGTGTTTGAAAAAAAAGGTATAAAGTGCAATGTGAAATTCAGAATCACCTTTTTCTTCATTATTTTAAATAAAAAATATAAAGAATTGTAATAATAATTAATAAATGAATGTAAATGTACTTTTTTGCATTTACTTTTCACAGTAACACACTACCATACTAGTAATGAACCATACTTGTAACAGAGATTACTTAAAGAAATACTACTACAGTGACATAATATTTAGACAACAATACAATAAAGTTTACTGCTCAAAACCATTTACCTAAACATATAATATGAATTCTTCCACGTGATGCAACAAAATGATTAGATGTCAGTGCCAGACTCTGTAGGAATATGTCTGATATTTAGTTGACATAATAAAGCAAAAGAACAACCGAATATCAAACATATCACACAGCCTCTAGCCGATCGAGCCTCAGCAGACTGGAAAAACCTGTAGCAGTGAGGGAGTGCTAAAGAATGGAAACACCAGACAGTTGGTCTCTTTGTTCCTAAATGAATGTATCAGAAGTCACATACACATACGCCCTGGTATGTATAATACAGCATAGAATGAATATATATAGAGAAAGAACCTGTCCAACACAAAAAAGATACAACAGAGGAAAAGCCTTGGGAGCAGTTAGTAAAACAGGAAACTGGAGCAGCTGTTGTCATTTGTGATCATGTAGTTTACATCACTCCAGGACCCACTGAGTTGATAGGAAGTAGTCAGAAAAGAAGAAGCAAGTTAAAGCATGTGTAAATACAGACAAGTTACTCACCAGTTCTTTCTTTCCATACATGAAGTTTGGCCATGTCAATACAAATCTTGGTAAACAAGTGGTTCAAGTAATAAAAAAATGTGATCAGTTTGAGTGTGATTTTTGTTTTTGACGTGTCAAACAGTAAAAAGGTTTTAAAAAGAGATTCACAGCTAACTGTAAAATATGCATGTGCTATGATCTGTGAGTGTGTGAGCAATTCCTCACCAGGACAGCATTTATATATACAACATTGTAGTTTGGGGGGACCATTTACACAAACTCTTTCAGTGCAACACACGGTCGTAGCCCCACGTAATTAGAGGTATATTGATCAGCTGCAGTGGCCTGCAGCCTTTCCTCCCCACATTAGCCTGATCAATAGATGTGATGTTCATCCTACTGTGAACAACCCCCCACCTCCGCCCACACACACAAATGACCGCAGATATGAGTCAAATAACTTTTACTTATTGCCTGTAGGGAGGACAAATGTAAACATACAAAGGTCACTTCACTAATTGTATCCTGCTTCCTTTAAAAATAAAAAAATGACAAATTTTTTAAATTAACAAGTGCACATTTGTATTAAATACTATAGTAAATGTATTTTTGTCATAATGCTTTTAATGAATTTTCATGAAAAATGATAAAGGTATAAAGGTTAGCATAGCAAAACCGAATAAATACATCTATGAATTTTGTCTGTATCAGCATTCTTAAAATTAATTTTCCTTCACAATATCCAAATTACTATCAGGAGCAGCTATATTTTTGTCACTGCACAGCCAGCTTATGGAAATATTGTAGAATAAGGCAAAAACAACTTTGGATTTGGATTTCCTAAATGTAGAATTGGTATAAGGAGGTGCTATGAATACTACTTATGCATATTAGCAGTGGTGGAAAGCAATAAAGCACATGGGCTAAGTTCATTGTTGAGGTACTTGTACTTGAGTATTTTCATTTTTTACTTTTTAACCAACACTGCTTAATGTCTTTTAAGTGTTGTGAAAAGGAACAGCGACGTCAAACCATGCTAAATGCTTTATTGTCCCAACTTTTTTTTGGAATGTGTTTCAGCATCAGAATTGCAGAGTGTTTATTTTGAATAGAATAAAATGAATAAAATGGATGAGGTGTCACATCAAATAATGTACAGCACTATTTTCAGTTTTAACTTTGATTTTACATACTGTCCCAACTTTTTCTGATTTGGGGTTGTATTTATATCACACAAAAGTACATCACGTTATGTGTTACTTGTCTATACAACTATACAAAAACGTCAGATCAGATGTTCATGAACCTGAATCTCGCTTTTCACAGTCAAACCCCCCCAGCCCCAGCAATCTCTGTAGCCTCTCCTGGTATGACATGCTGTGGCAAAAATTATCTTATTAAAGCTTGGTGAGTATAGAATAAAGTCTTGATACCAAATCTCAATGTTGTGGCGCATTAATTCCCTGCAGGGAAGGGGCAGTCTCCATACAGAATGCTACCAGTAACAGTCTGAAGAGAGAGGCTCCTAGCATGGAGGGCTGCATCCCTTCTTATACACACACATACAAATGCAGGTAACAGATGCTCCAGTAGATACAAAGCAGGATACAAGTTATCTGGTTCAGCAATCACACAAAGCCATGTTTATCTCTACTACATGCTGACACAGTAAACTGTCTAGTTTCACAAGCACACGGATAACTGCATAGAATAACTACATAGCAACAGTCAATACACCAAAAAGGGTGCTGATATAAATTTCCCATTACAGACACTGACCTTGTGAGCCTACTGGGGCGTAATGATAGCCCTCTGATTGCCTAATTGTGAGCCTGGGGGGAGTATTTTAATCTCCAACAGATGGAGAAAAGTGTGAGGCAAGGACAGAGATGACAGAATAATATAGAAAAAAATATTTAAAAAAGGCATTATAGGTAAAAATCCTTTGCAAGACCTAATATTGTTTATATTTAGTCTAATAATTCACTTAAAAGTTTTTTTTATAGTCTTAGCCATCTCTTCCACTAAAACATTTTTGCCTCTGATTTAGTCAGAGATGCAAAGTTATGGTTTCATGCTCACACATTTAAGTTTTAAAGATCAGTGTCTTTGAACAAATCAAAGTTAGCTTCAGTTCAGTTGAATGATTAGTGTTTGACATCTGAGGAGGAGTTTTTATCTAACAATATCTTAGGGAGGAATTTTGACCCTGCTTGTAAGGATGCAGCACTAAAACATCAAATTATATAGAACCTCAATATTTAATTTGGCAAGTTTGAAAAGTTCCATCCTGATCTTTCCTGTGACCAAAGAAAAGGATCCTGCTCCAGATAGTAAAGATATAACAATTCCCCCAGAATTAATAAAGGCCAACCGATTTAAAA